CACGATTAAACCCTAAGATGTCTTTTCTAGTAGCAATTTAAAATCCCAATATTTGAGATTTTATTTAGTTATTTTTAATGGATTCTTAAAGAAATGTCATAAAAATGTAGTTAAGTTTTAGCATTTCTATTATTTTATATCTACCTTTATGTATGTATAATGTGCTCATGTAAGAAAAATTCAGTATGATTTTATTGGTATGTTTTAACAACACAGAACTTTTGGAAATTACAGGAAAGCGTCTGGATTTCTAAGTTCTCTGGTTTTTAAACTTAATAGAAAATAATCAGTCTATGGAAAACCAAATTTTCTCTCCCCTCAGTATTCCAGCTTAATTTATCTGTATTAATTTGGAATTTATCTTTAAAAAAAAAAAGAGGTAGGACTGCAACCTTTTTTTTTACATAGGTTTTTAGAAAATTTTCTTAAATAATTAAAAAATCTTTTTATAAAATGTTTACTCTTCACATTTTAATGGAATTTCTACTTTGTTTTTCACATATCAAAGTTACTGCATACCAATTATAACCTACATATTCTATCCCAAAGTTAAGTTTATTTAAAACAACTGAACTGGAATAACCAGTAATCACAGGATCCCCCAAAAGGAAAGGTGGACACAGGTTTTAAAATCACGAATCACAACCTCACACGTTGAGAACCGCTTTCCTGCTGATTTCAGTGTAGGGTCCCAACTCAGACCTTGACAAATAACAGTTGGGACAGAAATAAAAAGTGCACAGGCTGCGTGCCCCCCCCCCCCCCCCCGGCGGCAGCCCGGACTAACTTCTGCGACAGCCGGTTAAAAGGCAGCTTCTCTCACGGCCTGGTCAGCTGTCCCGCGTGGGTCCACGGCTCCATCCAAGCGCGTCTGCCAGGAATGGAGAGCCGAGACCCGGCCCTCCGGTCGGCGCACGGACCGACGGGGACCGAGCGCAGAGCGGAGACCCAGCCAAGGAGACCCTGCACATCCCCGCCGGAAGCCGCCGGCTCGGTTCCTCTTTTCCTGCAAAGAGCTTTCCTGGGCGCATCAGGGCGCGTCTACCTGCTCGGTTCTCCTCGAAGGCTTGGTGAACATCACACCCAAACATCACAACCCCGACGCCCATTGGTAACAAGTGCCGGAGCATAAAACACAGGCAACCCCCCGTCCGCAGCGCGCTTCTCCTGATGTAGATTTTTAGAGAAACTTCAGGGCAACCACAACGGCCATTCCCACCCAACGCTACCCCCACGGGAGGGCGTGCCGACTGCCACGGCGCTGCGAGCAACTGCGCGCACGACCCAGCGGAACGAGCAGCGGGGCGCCCGCCCGGCGGTCCCGCGGCCCCGCTCCCGGCGTGGGAAGACGGGCTGCGGAGGAGAACGAGCAGGGGCTCGGGTCGCCGGGAGGAAACTACCCCGTCCTCCCACGAACACCGGCTGACGGCGCCGGCCCGCGCGGGAGGGAGGGAGGGAGGGAGGGGGGCGACTTACTTACGGAGGCTCCCGCCGGGGCGCGGCCCGGCCCGGACTCCTCAGGCGGCGTCCCGGGCGCCGGCTGCAGGGTCCCGCGGCCGCCGCGCCCCGCCCCCTCCCTCCCGGCCAATCCCCGCGGAGGCCTCCGGGCCCCGCCCGCCCCGCCCCGCCCCGCGCGGGCCGTCGGGCCGGGTTCCCACCGCGGGCGCGCGCGCGGCGCCCCCTCCCAGCCACACCCAGCCCCCGCCAGTCAGCTCCCCCCAGCGATGACGCTAATTAGAAGTTTTAGTCTCAGCAGTTAAACAATGTACCAACCAGTCTCAACACCGCCTGCAATTCAAACGGCTTTGAGAACAAAGGCAATCAGCGCTGCAGCAATTTTTCCTCTAATTTACAGAACGTGAAGACTTTCTCTCCCTACGCATTGCACTTATAATTTAAAAAAAAGGTTAACCTCTAAGGTTATAGGCCATTTCACAAGGAAATTAGCATTTCTGTGCAAAAAACGCCAGACCATGATGGCTACAACTAACCAAAAACAAAACCAAAACAACCACTGTCTCCAAAAAAAAAAAAGATATTAAACTTGAAAGTTTGGTCCCTCCTGCAGAAAAAATGTTCCTGGATCACCTGGTGGAAATAAGCAAGGTGTGCAGAGAAGTGGGGGAGCTGTCTTCTATAGTTTACAGACTTTGTGAATAAGAGAAAAGCAAACTGCCCAGGAAACTTACCCTTTACTATCTTTCCAGTAAAATTATGCAGAATTTGCATCGTTTTTAATTCGTCCTGGTGGAGGCTGCTATTGTTCACACTAATATCAGTTGAATGGCTACTTGTTGGTCCAAAGGGGAAAACACCACATGCCAGAATTCCGTTTTCTGGGTGCAAGGGCAGCTTTCATGCCTAATGACTGGCATCTTCACCGGAAACCACCAGAACATTCCAGCAACACACCCGAGGCCAGTCTTATTTCAAACCTCACAGCAATCCCAGTAGATAAAGGTCACCAGATTCAAACAACAAAGTCAAAACTGCAACTATCAACTAGAATAACTATTTCAAGGATTATGGGCAAATTTATTTATTGGTTAAAAGTGAGAGGAACCCTCAGAAAGGGAAATAATCAGGCCTGTTTTTCCCTAAAAAACTAGAATACTCCATTCACAGTTCTGAATATTAAACACTTCATTTAAGTTTTTTTAAAAATTGACTTCAGAGAGGAAGGGAGAGGGAGAGAGAAATATCAATGAATAGAGAGAATCATAGGTCGGCTGCCTCCCGCATGCCCCACACTGGGGGATCAAGCCCGAAACTCTGGCATATGCCCTGACAGGGAATCGAACCATAACCTTCCTGGTTCATAAATTGACGCTCAACCACTGAACCACGTCAGCCGGGCTCAAGTTGTAAATGTAGAGTGGAATTTTCAGGATGAGTAAAATTATACATGCAAATATGTGCTTACAAAAAGCCAACAAAACACCAAAAACAAAAACAAAAAAGCCTTTTTATACTTTATTTTCTAGTACTGGTTTGATCTTTAAAGCAATCTGCATCCATATTAAAAGAATTATTGAACAACTTAGAAGTTTATGAGAAAGATTTAGGGAAAAAAAACATAGGCAATGAACTATGAAATGGAGTAGAAAAGTAATAAAAACAACCACTACAAAAATGTTGCATAAAATAGGTTATATGACTCATATATCTTCCCCTTTCACTATATACTTTTTTCAAAAACAGATTATAATTTTTTCAAAGTTTCAGGGAAGTATAGTTTTCAATCCCACTCCATGCATTTACCAGGGCATGCTCAAAAAAGACTCCATTTTTAAATGAAAAAGAAATCTTAACCCATTCACTTTATGGAAAATTCATGTAGTGCCTTATTTTTATTACAAAATGCTATTTTTGTTTAGCAGCTAAGTTTACTTCTCTAAATATTAAATGACAAATATCTGAACACAATTTAGCTTCACTGTAGTAACCATTTTTAAAGTTAATCTTTTTTTAAAACATGAAAATCAACTAATTTCAAGTTAAAGCAAATAGAAAGTAAGAAGCAATTAAAAACAAATGCAAACATTTTCAAATGCTAATGTGTCTACCTGGCTTACCTTTAATGCCCTGAAAATGAGATGGCATTCTTAAAATGCTTAAATTAAAAAACAACACAAAAAAACAGGTGCCTGATAAATAAAAATAGAAAAGATTCCCAAAAACTTGTTCTGAAAGATGAAATAAACCTGATGAGCAAGTGAGAACATAGGCAGAAAGCTCCTTGAGAGAAAATATAATATTCCCCCAAAACTTATCCTTCCAAAATTCCCCACTGAGTTAAAATATAAACTTTTAAATGGCTTTAAATTCTGAGCTAAATCAATTTCTGTTTACAAGACACCTCCCTTAACATTTATAAGCTTTATACATGCTTCCAAATATATAAGAACATTTAAATCATTCAGTATAATTCTTTAAAAAAAGAATATTCCAGTTTGAAAAATCCATGATATCTACCTTCACATAATAAACATCATAATAAACATAATGAATATTCTGTAATGAGAGACATAACAATAAAAACATTTTACAAAATATTCTTGTAAAAGTAAACAGTTAACGGCGGGAACACCCATGCTGGTATCAATCTCGGCGCTTATTTTAGCATTTACTTTTAAAAGTAAAACGCCAACAAGCTGGTAGTCAAATCTACAATTTTGCTTTAAACTGAAAATAGAGACCGCAGATTAAGATGAAACCACATACTGTCCAGAGAGTATCTCCACTTAGAATAGTTCTCACCAACATCGCAGTTATCATTTCTCATTGATCCAATACTATTTGTTGACGCCGTTTTTATAATGACCATTTATTTCCTCGTTTGGAAGTCAAATCAACAGCCCTACTCCATAAGCTGGTTATTTTTGGAAAGAAGCTGTATCCTGGCTTTAGCGCGCAGCCCTCCGCCGGCCCGCAGGGCGGGAGCCCCCTGCGCATCACCTCTCCTCTGCGCAGCGCGGCGGTGACACCTTCCCGAGGCTTTTCAAAGGCACAGGGCCCGCTGGGCGCTGCCGACAACTCTGCACGCCTTGCTCCCCACTCGCAACCACCGTCACCTAAGTCTGATGACGGGGAGACCTACACTGACATCTGTCCCGGGAGCACGTTCTTTTCTGCAAGCAAGAACAGCCCAAATGAGAAGCAGGACTAAAAAATAAGTGCTAGCCCGGGAGAGCTGCGGTGTGTGCAGCAACCTTTGACGCGAGCACTTCTCCCGGGTTCCGAAGCCGAGGGGGGGTAGGGGGAGGGGAACCCCGACATTACAAGCAGATGCCCTTCACCAAAAGGATCAAGCCACCAGAACCCACCAGGATTGGGCGGCGCAGTAGGTCCCCGCAGGAAAGACAGGGGAGGAGAGAGATTTAGGGCATCTCCTGTCTACAAGCCCGAGAAACCTAACACAAGAAAGCTTTCACCAAGCAGGTCCTGTCAGCCCTGGCGCCCCGCGGCCGCAGTTCGTCCTCCACACCCCGGACCCTCACCTTCATCAGCCTCCAGGCCTTGGCTAAAGTCCACCGTGGCACCAATGTCCAGGGCAGCTTCGTGGTCCCAGGGTCCGCCCATCCGGCAGTAAGGTCAGCAGCTGGAGGGAGCTGGAAGATGGGCGGGGCCGCGGGGCGGGATGGGGAGCTCCCATCAAAGAGGCGGGTGTGGGCCCAGCCCCGCCCCTGCCCCGCAGTGTCCAGGCAGCTGAGGCCCACTCCTCTCGCACCGCGCGCTGCACCGCCTGGGGCTAGGGTCTTGCTTGGTGCAGATGATCTGAGCCTCAGAACACAAACAGCAGGTCTGACGAGTCACCTGGAACCCGGTCTCATGCTGCCTTGGATACCAACCTAGTTAGTAACCTTGGCACAAGCTCTGCAACCTCCATTCTCACAGGAGCAAAAACTCCACCTGCTCTCAAGGGAGTCAGGAAACACCCCCGGCACTCTGTCTGTCTAACGACCCTCTTTCTGTCCCAACACCCACGCAGCTCCTAGATGTGAATTTACAATGGCCTAAATATGGCTATTGTGCAAAATTGTGTGTGGCGAGGAGCACCCCCCCCCCCCTACCCAACTAACCACCAAATGTAAACCAGTTGCCAAAGAAGCTCTCCATTCTCTCCCCTGAGGCCCTCACCAGGCCTGCCTTGTTCAAGGCCCTGGATACTAAACCCATCTGTCCACCACCTTCAGGCCAGGTGAGTTCCATTACAGCACAACGCTGACCTTCTCTGACCTCTGACTTAAACAGTGACGTGCATGCCCCAATGTGTGTGGCTCAATATGCTCATCTCCAGTTCCAATCCTCTCCTCAGCCAGTCAACAAACGTTTCTGCAAACTGATATGAACTGCTAACACCAGCCCCTCGGCCTGGAATGCACGTCCTACTCCCCCCCACCCCACCCCCCGCGCGCGCGCACACACACACCACCACCACCACCACCACCACCACCACCACCACCGCTTTTCAAGAACCCTTCTAGAAACCACTTTTGCTTTCTGGGTTTTATCCTCATTCATTGTCATGTAAGCAGCTCTATTCTGCCACATAACAGAATTATTAGCATGCCACTGGGTATGCTCAAGTCTCAGCTCCTTGTAGGTCTAGGATTCCTTTTTCAAAATCTCCCTACTGCCAAGTACCCAGCACAGCCAATTTTGAGTTAATGTACTTGCAGCAAGAACCAAGACTTAATCTTGTGCCCATTAGCACTGATTTGTAGCAACTAGATGATGAAAAAAATTTTTTAAATAGTGTCAACTTTTAAAGAGAAATTCAAAGATAAGACAGTTTTTAAAAAAGCCATACACCATTAATTTCACAGGCAAAGACAGCCATTACAGGTAAATGTCATCTCTATTTCAGGGACATTTCCTACGAGGAAGCTGCTGACAGCTTAACCACTGTAGCTCTGCTTTATGCAAATACAGGTGGTACTTTTCTCCTAGAGAATTTCACACATCTGTCTGTCATCTTAGTGGATGTTGCCACGCAGAACAGGGGCACACACTACCCAGCCTTAAATGAGACGACTGGGGAAAAAGGTCACAGAAAAGTCAAGCCACTTAGCACACAAGATCATGTACACAATGGTTAAAACTATGTAAAAATTATACTGATATGAGCACCAAAAAGGATGTTTATACTGTCAAAAATAGATGATCATTTTTATTAGAAGTTCCTCTGTGAAGTTAAATGTTAAGAAAAAATTATAGCACAAAAAATTCACAAGACAAAGCATGATTAACTCAAACAATTTTAAGTCAATAAAACTATAACTGGATCATTCTTTTGAATAAAGAAATGCCAATTTCCCCCAAACTAACACTATAATTTTTTTGCATATCACACTTACAATTTCTCTTTACATTCAGTAGCTGACATTAGATATCACAGCGAAATAGAAATGCCATTTAAACTAAAAATACAAATGACTTTTTCTATAGTGTAATTAACAGTGCATATGTGTGTACATGTGCATATATACGTATTTTTCCTGACAGTAGTTATAACAAACTGCAAGAAGTTATAAAAATCCACTTCTAAAGCATACCCTCCATCTACTACTCTGTAACCCTATGAACTCCCCAATTCACCACCCTTTACATTATCCACATTCTCTGGTGTGGTAAGCATGGCAATGGCCACGTCCTGATCCCTGGAACCTGTGAATACATGAAGTGACATGACTCAGGGAAGTTAAGGTTGTTAATCAGCTGACCTGGAGACGGGGAGATGGATTATCCGCATGAGCCAAGGCAATCACAAGGTCCTCATGAGTGAAGAAGGCAGGAAGGGAAGAGAGAACCAGAGAGACAGCTGCTGGAGACAGGCTCAGCCTGACCGCTGGCTTTGAAGATGGGGGAAGGGGCCATGGGCCAAGGAATGCAGGGACCTCTGAAAGCCGGCAGAGGCAGGGAACAGGATTTTACCCGAGAGCCTCCAGGAAGGAGCAAAGGCCTGCCCACACCTTGACTTTCGCCCAGGGAGCCTGTGTGGACATCTGACCTCCAGACACTGCAAGATAGCAAATCTGTGTTTTCAGTCACTGGATCTGTGGTAATCTGTTATAGCAGCAATAGGAAACCAACACATCCGGGTTCCAAGCTTCTCTTATAATCAACATCAATGCTTCTCAATGTTTGGCTCAACCTATGAGGAAAATAAAAACATCCTTTGGAAGCTCTCAGCTACACCTGAACTCTGATCAATTGCCTTCTAAGAGGGAAAGATTTCTTCCAGGTCCCTCTGCTCACCTTCCCCCAAGTACAAGCTTCATAGGGGATTTCAGGTTCGGTTCTAGCGGCTGAAAGTTTGTTGTTGGGGGTGGGTGGGTGAGCAGAAAGCTGGACTGAGGTCCAAAGCCCCTTTGGGTCTGGTTCCTCACTGCCTGGCTTTTATAGCCACAAAGGCCAGGGCAGAGCATGTCAATGAAACAAAGGACAAGCATGAAACGAAACGCCATAGGCAACCACGTCTTGATCAAATCTAAGAGCGATTCAAGTTAATAAGTAACATAACCCCACCACCTTTTCATGGCTTTAATTATTACAGCCAGTAAAAAATATTCAGGCCATCCCTGTTTAGTGATGTTTTATTTACCCCTAAAGGCTAAAGTCTTCATTAAATGCAGAAGAGTTGTGTTCAATTCAACACATATGGTGAGATCACAGCCTGGTTTATTGTAGGTTTTTCATGTGTCACCCCCTCCCCCCAAACATAATCAATTTCCCTCCCCTCTCCCCCCTCCCTCTTTCTCTCTCTCTCTCTCTCTCTCTCTGTCTCATACACACACACATACACACGGACTCTACATACACAGCACTGCCATTATAATCTGGCTGTATCAGATTTTACATTTTGCATAATTGATTTAAAAGCCGATCTTATTTCTGAATAGTTTCCCTTACTATTTTTCTAGCACAAATCAGTCTTCTAACAAGGTCTGCCTTTGCCCCCACAGCTTCCATGCACATAGACCTGGCCAAGTTCCTGAAGGGCACAGGGCCTTTGGGTTGAGAAGCCTCGCCAGATGTCTAAGTGGTGAAGGGAATGGATACGAAGCTGAAGCAACCCACATGTTCAAACAATCAGCACCATTACTTTTTTTTTTCGTGGTGTATTGACTTTTTCATGGAACTGCCTGACTATGATGTTTTCCAAAGTTCACACTGTTTTATTTTCCAAAGGGAAACAATTAACCAGCCTTATCTTTTCAGGTAAACTCTTCACTGAGGAATGACGTGCAGCTCTTTATCATGTCTTACGTGAGAAAAACAAATTTTTCCGATCATTTCACACTTAGTGTTTTTTATACTCCTGATTCTCATTACTGTCTGCGGAGCTCAACCAAGATGAGAAGAGCTGGGTCCGCCGCAAGAGAGGGTCGCTGAGGCCCTGGCCGGTGTGGATCAGTGGATAGAGCGTCAGCCTTGGACTGAAGGGTCCCAGGATTTGATTCTGGTCCTCGGTTGCAGGCTCCGGGTGTGTGCGGGAGGCAACAGAGAAGATGTGTCTTTCTCTTTGTCTCTCCCTCCCTTCCACTCTCTGAAAAGCAATAGATTTTAGGGATAACAAAAACAAAAAGAGAGAGGGATGCTGAGGTGGGTGACTCTGCCTCCATGACCATGCCACCTGGAGGGGGCACCTCAACAGAGAGACGCGCGGAGAGGGGCGGAAAGAAGACCCAGCTCCCCGCTCTCCCTGTGTCTCAGGGATGGAGACAGGTTCTGGGAGAGACTGGGAAACACGGAGTCTCAGGCAGGGGGAAGCAGCTCACGAGGCAACACATCTGGGTTCAGCCCTGCACATTGTTCCTCTAGAAAAGGTGCTTATCATGTGGCTTTAGACAACGGTCAAAGGCTGAAAGCTAAACCTGGCTTGGTGTTTGATCATCTGTTTCATTAGCAGAATTGCAACACCATCACATACAGCCCTCCTTGGTCTCTAGTTCTCTGAAAACCTCTCCTGATAGTAATACAATTCCAAAACGGGAAAGAAAATGAATAAAGAGGCTGGGCATTAAATTTTACAAAAGACAGGAAAGTTATGGCTGTTTGACTTCGTATGGGCAACTGTTGCTGTCAATGTAGGTGCAAGCCTCTGGTGAAGCTGTGACCTAAAGCCATCTGCCCCTGCCCCACTCTCCCCCACTGAGGTCCTCTGGGGCCGAGGACAGACCTGGTGGTGGCCTCCTGTGGCTCTGCATGGCGCAGGGCTAGCAAGGCCTGTGCTCGCCTCTTCCAGCTCCTCCTACACGCTTCTAATGCTATTATATCCCCAGAATTAAATTAAATTAAAACAGCATCTTTAACATACTGTAGTTCTGTGTGTGGGGGGAAGGGGGAGATAGCAATCATGTAGTAACTAAAAAACTCAACATCCCCCAAACTGCTTTTATAAACGCTGAAGAGTAAGCAGTATTATTTAATCTGCCATCGCAGATCCTTGTTCTTGACAATAAATAACACAAGTGCTATTTTAAGGATTTCTTACAATTAATACCATGAAAAATGAATGACTGGATAAACAAACAAGATGCCATGGCAGAGACAAACAAAACAACAAATGCATACGTTGTTTCTGTTTGTACAGCTTGCCCTAAAG